TGTCAGCCAAAGGGTGGCTTAGAGTGAATTTTCCGAAGAAAATCACACTCCTAAGGCAGTGTGGGCCACAGATAGCCCCCATATTCCTTCCGACCAGGGTCCTCCGGGCCCCTCTGGCGTCTCCCGTCTCCATAGGTCTCCGTGTCTTAGGGGTACCCGAGAAGACGGTGAGGGTGCGCCCCCGCCCGTGAGGGCCTGGCAGACGTCCTTCCCGGAAGGCTCCCCGAAAAGAAGGCAGGTCCTCAGAGCTTTCCCGGGGGCTGCTGCCCTGTGCCAGACCCCGCGGATTCCCATCTTCTCCACGCGGCGGCCCCTCTCCCCTGCAGCGGCCCGCCTCTGGGGTTTCTGGACTTTTCCTTACCACGTCAGACTTAGTAGGTGGAACATCGGAGCAGTGCCCAGCCTTGCTCTTTGTGGCTTTGATTTTTTTTTTTTCTTTTTCAAATTGCCAAAGCCAGACTTGGAAAGTAAACCCGTTAAAGAATTTGGTAGGTTGCACTTCATTCTTGAGAAACCTTCCGGAATGCCTCCCTGGGGTGGTGTCTACACCAGTCTCTCTCTCTTCTCTCTTCTCTCTCTCTCTCTCTCTCTCTCTCTCTCTCTCTCTCTCGTTCGGGGGAGGGGAGGTAAAATGGCAAACGTATCCCCGAGGGGGCGGCTTCTCCTTTTTGTGGGCCCGTTGGGTGTACCTGGGAGACCTCGCTAGCACCCGGAGCCTGGTAGCACCCGGAGCCTGGGTTCGGGCTGCCCGAGCTTTGGCACAGCGTGGTTTGTGTTTCTAGAGCTGCCTCCCAGGACCCGGTGAGAGACAGCTCTTTTCAGTGCCGTTCCCTTTTGCGGTCAAGCATTTTATTAGCATGCTACTCCCATTGTTCTGTCTTGAATCTGAAGAGCGTGTAATTCCAGAACCAGCGCAGTCTTGAAACGCAGGCTCAGCCTCGCAGACTGTGTGGCCATGAGACAGCCCGGAGAAGCGAGCCAGACCCCAAACAGCTACAGTCAGATGTCTGCTGAATTGGGCTCATTAATGGTTTCCAAAAAGTTGGGATGGCTTTGGACTAGTGGGGACTTCTCATGACGAGACTTATGACGCCCTGTGTTGTGTGTGGGTGCCTTCTTCACGCTACTTTTAAACGTTTTTTCCCTAAAAATTGTATTTCTTCCACTTCTCTTCTGCAGTGAAGGACAACACGCCTAATTAAGCCTGCTGGGGGGCTTATGGTAGCGCTGCATTCCTTACCCCTGTGTAGTTATTTACATTTCCAATTAAAAATCCTGGAAAGAGAACAGTTATGTCTCCCCAAAACTCATTATGTGGACTGAGGCTGGTTTCAGCCAGTTTCTGCTATGACTGGGGTACATTTTTTTCCTGTTTTTCTCTTATTTATTTATTTTTTGATAACATATTTTGGGCTTGTGTCTCAATTTAGAGAATGAAATATTTATAACACGCCAAGGAAAAAGCCCTGCATCCACTTCTCCAGTGATCCATAGTTAGCCTGAAGTGATAGTGTAATTAGAACAGGTCTACTGCCAGGCACCAGCTGTGCTGCAGGCACTGTGGCAAGTGTTTCTACCTGCTAAACGGGCGCTATATATAGAAACTGCTCTGTTTAGCATTGAAACTCCAGGAAATCTTCCACAGTCAGCCTTTGGTTAAATACCTATAAAGTATTGTTTTACTTACAAAGCATTATTTCTCCATAATTCCACCTGGTGTTATACTTTAAAACCACTGACTCCAGGAATACCAGAACAGTCAAAAGGAGCGTAATTAGAAAGCCTGGCTGCTCTAATGGATGATCAAAGGGTATTCATAGAGCTGACCTCAAAGGTGCGGGCTCCTTCCGAAAGTGCTGCCCCATCTGACTGTGGGCTGGCATTATGCTTTGCCAAGACCAGTAAGACCCAATGCGTCCCTGTCCTCATGTATTTCCCAAAAATATAGTCAGGGGGATGGGGCAAGAGCACATCAGAAAATGCAGGCTGTCGGTAACATAGGGTAGAATTCCACCAAAGTGGCTCAGAGGCATTCTGCAGGCACCTCCCGTCTGATTCTACCCCATCAACCTGCATCTAGTTTCTAAAGCCTTATAGTGCCATCCCTATGGCTCCTAAAAGATTGTTTTAAGAAACGAATTTTATTTATTTATTTATTTGAGTTGGAATCTCACTCTGTCGCCCAGGCTGGAGTACAGTGGCACAGTCTCGGCTTACTGCAACCTCTGCCTCCTGGGTCCAAGCGATTCTTCTGCGTCAGCCTCCAGAGTAGCTGGGATTACAGGTGCGCGTCACCACACCCAGCTAATTTTTGTGGTTTTAGTAGAGACGGGGTTTTACCACGTTGGCCAGGCTGGTCTTGGAACTCCTGATCTCAGGTGATCCACCCACCTTGGCCTCCCCAAGTGCTAGGATTACAGGCGTGAGCCACCATGCCCCGCCAGAAACTAATTTTAAAATGGAGTTTGCTAGTGGTTTTATCAAAAGGTTTTTATTTTTACTTTTTATTGTTTTCTATTTTAAAAGCAGCTTCCCTGGTGAAGTATCATGGCCGTTGCTTTATGCTCTGAGGGCTTTCCCTGGGCACGCTTGCCTTTCTTGGCTCGCCGTGGGTGACTCTTCTTCCTGCACCACGTGTCTTGTTGCTCCTGATGTTCGCTCTTGGGACACTGTTTCAGGATGGCCCAATGCCTGGAATAACTTCCCGCCACCTGCACACAGACCCCGTCACCTGGACCCAGTGCTACCCAAGGACCCTGGCTTTTGCTAGGGAAGAGTGAGGAGGGTCTTTTTTCAGCCCCTCCTTGACCCTCTTGTGCCGCACAGATGCCTTTTGGAAATAGTAGTGACTTAGAGTCTGGCCGACATTTTTGACTTAACTGCTGATGAAAAAAGAACTTGCTAAAGAATGGTAAAGAGAAATTTGCAAGGAACTTAACTTTCTGGGGGAAAAAAGACTTTAAATAAGTTTAAAGTCATTTTTACTATGAAGATCCTACAACAATATGGTAGGGCAGACTTGTTTGGACAGTTCGATTATGGTAGGAAGTTTAGAACCATAACTGTCTTAACCTATTAAACCCATATTTTTGCTGAATTGGATATCTGGCTCAATCAGTCTTGCAGTTGATGCGTTGAACTAAATATAAACAGTTTGCTTCTAGGGGCTGAACTGCCATGCCTGTAGGGTCTCAGGATCTTTCTAAACGCTTGATAAAGAATGGTGCATCTTATGGACTCCTAATATATGAACAGATTAGCCCAGTGTCGGCCCTTCAGCTGTGCGTATCGGTGTTGCGCATTCATTCATTGCCATTGCCAGTCGGCGATTGGACTGCATTCCCAGAGTAAATCATAATGTTGTGTTTCTGTCCTTTGCTTCAGTGCCCATCTACGTGCCGTTCCTCATCGTTGGCTCTGTGTTTGTCGCCTTTATCATCTTGGGGTCCCTGGTGGCAGCCTGTTGCTGCAGATGTCTCCGGCCTAAGCAGGATCCCCAACAGAGCCGAGCCCCAGGGGGTAACCGCTTGATGGAGACCATCCCCATGATCCCCAGTGCCAGCACCTCCCGGGGGTCGTCCTCACGCCAGTCCAGCACAGCTGCCAGTTCCAGCTCCAGCGCCAACTCGGGGGCCCGGGCGCCCCCAACAAGGTCACAGACCAACTGTTGCTTGCCGGAAGGGACCATGAACAATGTGTATGTCAACATGCCCACGAATTTCTCGGTGCTGAACTGTCAGCAGGCCACCCAGATTGTGCCACATCAAGGGCAGTATCTGCATCCCCCATACGTGGGGTACACGGTGCAGCATGACTCTGTGCCCATGACTGCTGTGCCACCTTTCATGGACGGCCTGCAGCCTGGCTACAGGCAGATTCAGTCCCCCTTCCCTCACACCAACAGTGAACAGAAGATGTACCCAGCGGTGACTGTATAACGCAGAGTCACTGGCGGGTTCCTTTACTGAAGGGAGAGGAAGGCAGGGGTGGGTTCTCCAGGTGGAAGTCCGCACGTGTCGGTGGTATTTGTGGCACGGTTCCTTTGGATGGCTTCATTTGCCCCCAGACTGTATGAAAACATCTCCAAATGAGCATTTCTGGATATGTGTCACCCAGGGTATCATTGATTTATGATGGGAAACTGGCCTCAGCTGGAGTTGCCTGTGATGTTGCTGATGGGCGTGTAACAAATGCTTGAGTCCCAAGTGCCCTTGAGATATGGTTGGCGAAAGAATTTTATAAACTGATAAATTAAGGGTTTTTATTATGTTGTTATTATTTTTTTGTTGTTGAGTGCACAAGATCAAAATGCCTGGTATCTCCCTTTTACCTGGGTCTTTTTTTTTTTTTTAATGAGACAGGGTCTTGCTGTGTTGCCCAGACTGGAGTGCAGTGGTGCTATCTCGGCTCACTGCAACTTCAGCCTCCTGGATTCAAGCAATTCTCCTGCCTCAGCCTCCCAAGTGGCTGGGATTACAGGTGCCTGCCCCCACGGCTAAGTTTTTGTATTTTTTGTAGAGACGGGGTTTCACCATGTTGGCTAGGCTGGTCTCACACTCCTGACCTCAAGCGATCTGCCTGTCTCAGCCTCCCAAAGTGCTGGGATTACAGGCGTGAGCCACTGCCCCCAGCCTGGGCCATTATTTAATGTTTTTTTTATTTTTATTTTTTTAATGCATCCAAGGTTAAGGGGAAGACACAAATAACAGGACTATTCTAAAAGGAAACCTGTTTGAACTCTGTGAGATCAGTCATCAGCCTCAGTATTCCACAGGCACACCTTCATTTCATCGTAAAAAGATACACATTTTGTCTATTTTTGTGCTTTTGGGGCCTATTTTGTGCTTTTTTACCTTGTGTAGAGATCTTATTACAAAGTGATTTTCTACATTAAAAAGAGACTGAAATAAATTGTATAGTTACTTAACTAATGAAGACATTTCAGAACTCTGGGATGATTTTAATCTTGAAGTAGTAGGTGGTGTAGTATTAAAACCATTCACCCCCTTCTTGATTGTATCTTAATTTTCTGGCTTTAAGGTGACATCTGAGAGGTAATGCATTCTTTTTTATATTGAAATCATAAGCTATCACCCGCTGCTTCTCTGAGTTACTTTTAATTTTGCCTTGTGGTTACGGTTTGGGATTTCCTTCTGTTTGGTTTTCAGATCCCCGTGTCTATATAGTCCTGAGTGCAAGTAATTACTATACTTATACATGAGGATCAGTATTTCTGCCTAGATCTGATAAAACATTTTCTTGTTTTAGTTATAAAAATTCAAAGAAATGTGTTACAAAGATACTTAGTATAGCTCCTTAGTCATAACCTGAGACTTGGGATGAAATTTAAACCACAGAGATGGTTTACTTTGCAGATCATAAGGCTTTTTATACTCTTGTTATCAAAATGGCTTATTTTTCGGGCAATAGGGACTATTAAGTCAAGAGAAAAGCTTTTCAAAGACGTATTGCCTTTCTTCTCCCACACAGTTCTTGATTTCGTCTCTCTTTCAGGCCTCAACAGGCACTGTGTTCATTGCCAAGGTTCCAGATTATCAAATTCAAGTGAATTTAGTCGTGTGTTGTTTACTTATTAAAAAAAGATAACTTTAAGGATGTGCAAGATTTTGTAATTAAACAAATCGTTTTATGGTATGGTCTTCTACACATTTATATCTATAGATATCTATCGATCATCTTTCTATTCTGTCTGTTTCATGACTGAATAATGTAAAACCATTGTTGGCAACTGGTATCATCAAAGATACTCATTTTTTAATAACCAAAGGCAGGGGAAAATCATTTTACTTATTAATAAATATTTTATGATGTGAATTCCTAGGGGAGTTGGGTTTCTTTTTTCATTTTCATTGTACTTGGTAAGTTTTCAGATGGTCTAGTCAACCTGTTAATAGAACAAAATTTCCAAAAATTATGAATATTGCTTTCTAGAACCAAGAGCCTGCTTTTCAAAGCAATCAATATCTGGGAAGCTTACGTGAATGTTCTGTGAGTCAGTATTATTTTACAGGTTTCATGGGAAATGTTGACAACACAAAAGAAACAGTTCTTTTGGAATCATTATATTATGAGGCTAATGGGTATTCCCTGCATTGTGTTTGATGGCAGATTCCTGCTTATCTCTGGAAGTGAAATTCTTAGAACTTTGGAACTGAAAGGGACCTCAGATATCACCCAGCCTAAAGATTGGCAAGCTTTTTTTTTTTTTCAGTAAAAATCAGAGACTGGCTGGGCTCATGGCTCACCCCTGTAATGCCAGCACTTTGGGAGGCCAAGGCGGGAGGATCGCTGGAGACCGGGAGTTCCAGACAAGCCTGGGCAACATAGCGAGACCCCATCTCTAAAAAAAAAGAAAAAATAAATAAAAATTAGCTGGGAGTGGTGGCGTACTTGGTAGTATCAGTGATTTGGGAGGTTGAGGCAGGAGGATCACTTGCAAGCTCAGGAGTTTGAGGCTGCAGTGAGCTGTGATTTCACTACTACATTCCAGCCTGGGTGACAGTGAAAACCTGTCTCAAAAAAATAAGCAAAAAAGATCCTGAGAGTAAATACTTTAGGTTTTGCCAGCCATATGGGATCTAGCAGCTATTCAGCTCTGCAGTAGCACATAAAAGCAGCCATAGATATACATAAACAAATGAGCGAATCTATATGCTCATAAAACCTTCTCTTTTTTTTTTTTTGAGACAG